GAGAAGAAGCTAGCATACATCATAAAGGAGGCATTAGAAAAATGTTCACAGGACCACGGATCCTTACACTCTGTCACCACAGCCTTCTTTGTCACATTTGAGTCAACTCTCCTTCGGCAATTCTGGGCTTCTTCTGCCATCATGAGGAAATACATTGGTGGAAGGATGCCCCCTCGTATGATTGCACTGAAGAAGCCCATTTCTTGGGATCTGATCATCACACTTTGTGCTTGGCTGGATATGTTCAAGTTTGGCTTCAACTTGTTTGTTTGCTTCACTAATCAAGAAGCCATAAAGGATCTGATGGATCAAGCGGACACTGATCACTCTAACCAAGACAGTGACTGTGAGAGTGCAGGCAGTCTGGAAGAATGTTCAGACAGTGTGCTGTTGAATTTAACTCAGGCATTCATGGGAAATGATGAATTTGACCTTGGTATGGTTGTCGATGAAGACAGTGAGGAAGAAGAGGTTGAAGATGAAAGTGATGACTGAACAGGATCATTTCTAAGCATTTTCTTACTCTTTCTATTTTAGTTTTGGAATACCTTCTGATTGTTTTATTAAAAGTAAAGCAAAGGTTAGTGGCTCTTAAGGGCCAGATGCTCATTAACTTAGGATTCCGTAGTGCAATAAGCAACAACAGGATTGTACCCACGCTAGTGAAGTGTTTGATTTGCAATTGAGGTGAGATTGTATACTTAAAATGTGGGTGTCTAGATGTTTCTTTTCTTTTTTCTGCCATTGATTGTACACTGAGGAAAAAATTCATGGTAAAGATGCCCAGAAAAATATACTTCACACAGAAAAACTTGGTCCTCATTAGCTGCAATGTTTTTCTTCAAAGTTAGTATTTTAGGCATGCAGTCAAACCTTGATTACCGTGGCCGACCCTCAGTTATTGCTAACAACTCATTCCCAGTTCAATTCTTGATTCTGGAGTCAGCAGTATTCTTGTTCTCGATGTGTTTTTGGCAATCCATGGGCATTGCTGCAAATGTAACAATCCAGCCATAGTTGAGTTGTGGCCACTCTCTGTGATGCAAGAGCGTATATTACACAACAGAGAGAGGGCCAGAACTGGACTACAATGTTACCATAGCTGAGAACAAGATCATTAAGTGTCTGACTTAATTGACATTGATGGTAGCTTGCAGTCTGATCAATAAGTGTCCTCATTACAGGTGAATTTTCTTTCATTCCAAAACATGGTCTCACAGGCATTGCTGTTGATAAGTTTTGAAGTAGGCAGTTGCCCTGGTGAAGCACCCGTCAGAATGCAATAAGAGACACCCACAACAATTTTTGAAAACTGCTAACTCAACAACATGGCTCTCTGGCAATATGCACAACAGAATATCCACTGCAACTCTGGCAAGTGCCAGGTCATATTGAAAGCACTACATAGTAATAACTACAATAGGCTGTGCAACGTTTTTCTTGGTTATTCATAATTACTGCACATTGAGGTGAGGGGTTTTAAATTTGCCTACAGACATTTACACTTCCTTTAGATAGCAAGGGACTTGAGATCAAAGAGATTAAGCTCTACTAAATGACTGAAAACTTTAAAAACCATCCCATGAAAATGGGTTTCAGTTTGAGGTGGCAGAGAATTTTAGATGGCAGGTCTAGCTGGATCATTTCGTAATTGTTAGTGACAAATAACTATTGTAAGTGGAGGCACAATGGCCTCGTGGTTAGTGTGCTCGCCTCTGGATTGAGAAGTCCAGGTTCAAGCCCTGGCTAGGGACATTGTGTTGTGTTCTTGGGCAAGACACTTTACTCCCACTGTGTCTCTCTCCACTCAGGAGTATAATTGGGTACCTGCAATGAATCTAATGCTGGGGGATAACCCTGCAATAGACTAACATCCCACCCAGGGGGAGTAGAAATACTTTCAGTCTCCTAGTTGCTAGATAAGTGCCAGACTGCTGGGCCACATGGCTCATATGCAGACTTTAGCTTAATAACAGTTATAGGTGACCTGGAAAAAGACTATTAACAGTAACCGATAATCAGCATTATTAGACATTGTAGTCACCATCTGTCTTCTCACTGGCTAAAAGCCTACAGTTAACTCTGGGAAACAGTGCAACCTACAGATTATTCACTAATCTGCTGGCAGATTAGTAGATAATCTGTAGGCTGTGCGCGCAGTGCATGATTTCCAAGAGCAACGTCAAGTTCACATAAGAACATGGCTTGTCGAAAATAAACTGTGTTTGGTGCGATATAATGCATTTGTTGTTATTTTCCTTAACACAATGTATAATAAAACAATTATGAGATTCAGTTTTTGTGATATCCGAAATAATCAAGGTCTCGTTAGTGTTATCAGCCTCAGCCTTCAGCTTCAGCTGATAACACTTACCTCGATCTTGATTATTCCGGATATCACAAAAACCTCATCCAATAATTGTTTATACTTGCCATAATTATTATTCAACAGTCTTCATGAATATTCAACATCTGATAACAACTGACATCATGCACATGCAGATACTTCACAAAACGAACAAAAATTATTCATGGCTGGAGCTTTGCAATATGCAAGTAGTTTTACATTAAAATATTTTACATTAATAGACTTTCAAGTAGAAAATATTGCTATCTTGTGTTTTCTAAATACATGTAGGCACTATAAGATATTGTTTCATGGTTAAGTAAAATATATCTAAGAGTATAAAACAGATCCAAACACTCTTGTTTCTCTCTATAAAAATACTTTATTCCCATCATTTTGCCATTTACAACTAATTGATACAAAAATAAAGCCATCATAATTCATGCATTTCGTTTTTCTCTCATGCTAATCATTTCTAAAATAACTAGGGCTAAAACGTCACCGATACTCCAAAGGTGCAAGCATTTAGATTACCCGAAAAAGGAATAAGAAAAATGTTTGTAAACTTCAGCTAACCTGTTGTTTAAAAAAACACTTATACATTCACTCGACAGTCAAATATTCAATGTTTTGCTTTCAAGCAGTCTTAATTTTTGGTCATTTTCAAAAGAGTGAAAAGCACTAATACTATCAATCCTAGACAATCATTAATTTTTACTGTGTAGAAACCTTTTCAACCTGGCATTGTTTTAATAGCTGTTGGTAAATACCAGATCACTGCACAACACTGAAAATAAAGGGTGACAACTGTTTTAGCAGTAGTATGAGGTCACAACAGTACCTTGAGAGTTCAGGGCATTTTCCCAATCAGGCTTTTAGTCAGGATTTGAAAAGTGCACGTCCAAAATGTGCTAAAAGGCCTGCTCAAACGAACAGTTTATAAGGCAACATATGAAAAATGAAACAGTTTTCTTTAACAAGTGGCCGTCCACAGGATCCCTGGACACCCATCTGGCTAAAAACCTGTTCCCAATGATATGCAGTGTTTCCAATGTTCTTTGCAATGAACTTGGAGAATGCAGTTCTAAGGATACAGAATTACAAAGAACAAACCATAGCATTGCTTCTTAACAAATATGGAGTTCCTGTTTCTGCTCTGAGTCTACAAAATACAAGTACTGTGTTCTACTTTCCATCTTTCAGCACTGCTACAAGTTTGCTGGTACACTGGCACAAAAATAAACACTCTTCGAAACAATTCTTAGGGCACAGAGAATGCTGAAGAAGAAAAAAGAGAAACCTATTAAATTTTTCTGCTTTTCAACATTTAAAAAATGCTTACTTAACAACACTGCAATGCCAAGTTCTCTGTGCCAAAGCATTCACAATACCTTGTGCCTTGCTTGTATAATGGCTTCAAATATTTTTTCGCCAAATTGAATAGGTAACTGCATTCAAATACATGAAAAGAACTATCTGGTACAAAAATTAACAAATTTTGTTTGGATAAACCATTTGATATTACATGTGTATTTTGTATACAACACACATGCACAAATAAATTAAAGTCTACATTTTTTTTGGCCAATTAAATGTTAAAAATAAGCCAAACATCTGACACTTTTGCATTCTGTGATACCAAAGAGCAAATATATCCACTTATAATGCCAACTATAAAACCTAACAACATTTGTGTGCAAATCATCAAACGCTTAACATATTCTAGTTGACTACCATTAACAGACGACATTCTATGGCACTCTGGAATTACCTTCACATCAGACATTCTTATGATGCCATAAGATGTGACATAATTTCAAAATTCTGTTTAAGTATAAAAATACTGCTAACCTAAACACCAGGAACAATGAAGTCAATGTACTTTGTGTACCAAATGTGAGCTTTTAGATGAATTTTTTCTGTTTTTGCAGCTTTTCTGTAGATAGTGGACCTAAATTCAAGCAAATTCATTTCAAAATTTAGCATTCTTATATTTAAGCAGGTTAATTGTAAATACAGTTGGTCTTCACTAAACTTGTCTAACACAATATCGCAACAAAAAAGCTCTTTTAGAAAATTACTTCCAAAACGCTACTGCTATTAGCAACCTCTCTTTCTAAGATCTCTTTGTCTGTCACTAATGTAGTCTGCGAGGGCAGACGTCAAGGAAAACAAGTCCTTCGCAATGACTGCCGTAATGAAAAATGCACAGTGTACATGTGCATGTATGCCTCATTAGGGCACTGCTAATTACACCTAACACCTGACTCTTTACAAACTGTAGCTTTCTCAAGATTGTTGCTAGCTGTGCCACAATTTTCTACAAATTCACTACCAGTAATGCCAAAATCTTAGCAATTAAACCATGAACACTATTACTATATAGTTCCTAAGCTTTCAGAAAAAAGTAAAGTGCATACATGTATCAGACACATGTAATTTTCAACATTATCAGACAGAATTATGACCTACTAAAGCTGTATATAATCATTTGCACAAGAGAGCCTTGTGGGTAGTGCACGTCCAAAGTAACATGGTGTAGCTTGACATCTGTTGTCATTGTTTTAGCCACCAAAGCAAGCTAGTGTACTAGCCATGCATGAATTGAGTTTTCCACATGAGTCCACACTGTGCTTGGGTATATGGTTGATATTCCCTTGTGGCAATACATGTTAATGGGGCGCTAAGTGAGGTGCTAAACATCCCCCGGGAAACGGCCTCAAAAAATATTCTGTCACAGCAAAACAGCATCTTCTCCTCTATGTTTTGTCTTTCATTTTAGACATGATTGCCCGGACTCGTTTTTGAGCTACAGCTGCTGCTGAAACAGCATTCTCAGCAGCACTGATGGCATCTGCAGCTTTGTCCCGTGATGCCGCAGCTCTGGACAATGCAATCTGAGACTTCTGCTCTGCTTTCTCTGCTGCATCTTGGGCTCCCTCACAGATAACTCTGAGTCGTTGTTTGAATCTAGTAACAAGAGAAACTAATGGACCCTTCTTTTTCACATCTGTAACCAACTCATCATTTTTCCACTCTCCTTCAAGTTTTGTTCCATCTGGAAAGAAAGCTACACCCAAACCATGACGCATATTTTCACTCCATTCGCCGGTATAGCTAAACCCATCAGTGTCTTCTATGATACCTAATCCATGGCGTTTGTCATTCTTCCACTCTCCTTTATACGTCTCTATCAAGCGATTAGTTGCCCTTTCAATTTGCCCATTTGAATCAACAGTTTCCACGGTGTAAGACTGTGCCGACCCGCTGCCTACAGTACTGTTCATTGATCCTGTTTGACTAGCATTCTCTGGATCACTGGGTGATCTTGGAGTTGGTGACTGGATATCAGAAGTCTGTGAGGGGGTCTTCTTGTGCGATGGAATAGCTCTATTGTTCTGACTACTATTAGGGAGCACACCATTAGATTTAAAGTTATCCACAGTTGTTTGTCTAGAGATGCAACGCTTGTAATGCCTTGTGGTACTACTTTCTCGTTTAACTTCGCCACTCCGTATAGCATACCCGGAGCGCATTCCTGTTTTCCATTGTCCATAGTAGTATCCTAAAAAAGAAAACAAATTAGGAAATTGATGACTATGATTTTTTTTTCTGTTTACAGTGCTTCTAAATCAGCTTAGGGAAGAAAACATTTACCAGTTAACACAAAATTCCATACACTGGGAACTGACTGAGCCTGTGGATTTGAGCCAACAGGTACACTGACTAGCAACTTAAAAGTATTTATACCATGTCATGGAAAATACAGCCAATCAGAATACAGGAAATCTGTTGCATGGTCAGGGTGCGCCAAAACCTATGTCTGATTGTCCGGGACAAGTAGAAATTTAGTTCGGACATGTAAATCTTAAACATGACTTGTCCGTGGGACAAGCACATTTCTGATGTCTAAACAACTACAGAAACAGAGGAAAATTGACTTCTTTATTTATTTTATTTTTATTTAACGTTTCTTTATACACAGTTAAAAATCATCAGGTAATACTAATATTTAAAGTTATATATATATAAACAAAAAAAAAATTAATACTAATAAACTACTAATAAACAGTCCATGCTAAATACTAATTAATAAAAATTGAAGTAGTAAATCCTAATTTAAATATTAAACT